TGCATACAGAACTGGGGTACAGGCCAGAGGTGCAGGGGCTGCGAGAGGACTCACCGGAGACAGAGTGGGGAGCAGGACAGGCAGAGCCAGATCGACAAAGCACACTGCTGAGGGGCGCAGCAGGCAAGCAGGAGATCTTGGGGCCCTGGGGGTCAGCTCCCGGGCAGATATGGAGCTCGTGGGTGAGGGAGCGGCCTCGCTGGGCTTAGCTTCGCGGTGCTCCAACCTGCAGCGCCACCAGGGAGGGCCCCTGGGTGCTATTTTTACATCTTTTTTACATCCCGCTCTTGTGTGTCTTTGGGTTTAGTTTTCTGGAGAAACACCCTCTATTTTGGGGTGGTTGCACTCTACCTCTATGTTGGTTTCAGGCCCTCATGGGTGTCTCACCTTTTTAAAACAATATATTCATTATATCATCTTTCATTTTTGTACGATGTACGGTTTCCCCGCCAGCTCCCACCGCCAGTTCACCTGTGCACCATCACCATAATCCCTGGTGCGCCCCCACCCGGGCCTGGTCCTTTCCTCTCCTCCTCCCCTACAGAGTGTCTCTGGCCTGTTGTCGCCTGATTGTTTTGATTTTTACTTAGTGATCGTTACTTTTTCTTAATGGTAGTTACTCCCCCTGCCCCTGATTCCCTATTTGGCTCCTCTACATTCCTCCTCCATTTGATATTTTTCTTTTTCTTTCTGGCCTATTTCACTGAGCACAATCCCTTGCAGCTCCATCCACACTGCTGTGCAGGGCATGAGTTTATCCCTTTTGATTGCTGAGTAATATTCCATCGTGTTCTTGACCCAGTCATCTATTTTTGGACATCGCTTACCCATTGTAAATTGTGCTGCAATAAACATAGGGGTTCAGGTGTCCTTTTGAATGAATGTTTTTGTGTCCTTTGGGTCGATTCCTAGGGGTGGAATTGCTGGACCATAGGGAAGCTCCACTTTTGGTAGTTTCGGAGCCTCCACACGGCTCTCCATGGTGGTTGGACCAGTTTGCATTCCCACCAGCAGTGCAGGAGAGTCCCTTTTGCTCCACATCCTCGCCAACATTTGCTATCGCTAGTTTTTTAAATTTGTGCCATTCTCGCCCTTCTGCCGGTCCCCTCTGAAGTGTCCTCCGTCAGCTTTGTGGGGAGCTGCGTCCCCCCTCTTCGCCGCCAGGTGGTGCTGTGGCCCCAGTTTGGTCTCTGCCTGCCGGGCTGCGTGTCCGTGGCCGCATCTCTGCGCCCAGTGGGGTAGGGCTGAGCTGCGGAGCTCCAGCACTGCGCTTTAGCCACGGCAGCGTGGGGGAAGGGGGGAGTGGGGAGACGGAGATTTAGTGACGGCCACAGGCCTGAGCGTGTGGGGGGGGCTGACCCCGTGTGCCTTTCCCCTCTCTTCCCTGGCGGGGCGGGATGGAGGGGAGGGGCTGCAGCGCATGCTTTGGAGGTCAAAGCATCTGTTTCTCTCCTCCTCCCCTCCCCCCACCGCTGCTCTGGGGTTCCCTTGGGCCAAAGCATTGGGTTTCTATGCCGGCTCTACCGCCCTGTCCAGATCCCGGGATCTGCGAGCCTCTCAGCAATCTGTTAACTCACTCGCCGCATCCTCTCCAGGAACCCCGGCCTACCCACCTCCACAACAGGGGTGTGTGGATCCCCGCAGTGCGCCGGCACGAGGCCCTGAGAGGCCCCTGCGGCTTGTACTTAGTTAGGTCTCTTGGACATGAATGTCTAACAGGGGCTGTAGGTAAACATCTCAGACATACGCCATAATACTAGAGGCTGTGAACCCCAAACACCCCAGCCTCTCCGACACCTACTCAGAAATTGAGGATGCACATCTCAAACTTAACAAGCACCCGCTATTTCTCACTGCAAACCGGGTTGTCCAGCCTTCGGAAGACCCCTCCCTCTGACCGCCACCCCAGCGCCGTCGTTACCACAGATGTCTCCATCTCGGTCGGTGCCACTGGATTTTGAGCCAGGCAATTCCTGGGGGGCAGGGGCTGTCCTGTGCACTTGGGAGGTTGAGCAGCATCCCTGGCCCCGACGCCCCCCTACCGGAGCTCCCCAGCCGCAGCCCGGACAGAGACAATCAGCTGCAGACAGCGCCACCTGTGGCCCGGAGGGCAAAGTCCCGCCGCGCGGGGCAGCCACGCTCAGGGCACCCTGGCGCTCTGCTGGTTTTCTCGCCGCCTCTCTGGCACCAGCCGTCGCTGGGCTGGCACACGCTGGGCGGAGCCTTCCCTTCTGCACTGCACTGGCCTCGCGGTTAGCACCCGACCAACGCCGGGCCTGGCCGCGCCCTGGAAGACTTGGCCTCCCAGGCCCCTCCCCACTTCCCACCCCTGCCGAGTTCCTTCCCGTGGGCGGGGTGGGGCGCCTGCCGCCTTCAGCTCGGAGGTCACCTTCTCAGCGTGAGAGCGAGGACCCGCGTCAGGTGCTCCCCTCGCGGCTGGTCTGGCGCCTGAGCGCCTTTGCTCTCCCCAGCGTGCGGCACCGCCGCCCCCACCGGTCAGTCTAGGTACAGCCGGACCGGCCGCCGGCGTCTCTGGCTGCCCTGCAGGCCCTCGCCCGCTCTGGCTCTGGCGGCCCGGGCCTCCTCCTTCTCCCTGCGAGGGGGGCGGCCCCCCGCGGTCCACCCCCTGCCCCGCGAGCGCGCCCTCGCCACGTCCCCGTCCTTTCCCTCGCTGGTTTTCGGAGAGAACCCGGGACCTGCTTCCCTAGCGCCACGGGGGCCCCGCCCCGCCCTCACACACAGGAATTGTCCCGTCCACACTGGGTCCCCGCGGGCTCTCGGAATACAGCTCACCGTCCAGCCTGATCTAATACCGCTTTAAGTTCTTCCGTCTCTTTCCTTGTGGAGTCCAGGGTGACAGAGACCCGACAGGTTTTGGACACTGCAGGCTTTGGGGACGCAGCTTGCTGGACACCCGTGGAAAGTGTCACAGACTGTGTGGCCAGCGGTTCTCAGGGAGGTGATGGCCAGGGACTGTCACTTTCCTTGCAGTCTCTTCATCCACACATGCTCGGAGATTCTGGGGCTGAGCTGAAGGATGCCGGGGACGGGGACAGGCTGTGTCGGGCGCGGCTGGGCGGGTCGGTGGGGCAGCGAGGCCAGGCGAGGGGAGGCCTCACCCGCCGGCGGCGCCATGTCTGCGGTGCCCGATCTCAGCAGATGGAGGGGGCGAGCTGAGCGCCCCTGAGGTGCAGTGTGATGCCTGTGACAGGCAAGCCGGGGCCCCCAGCACTCGCTGTCCGCGCCCCACTGGCGGGGTTACCGACTTAGCTTCCCCAAACACTTCTTGCTCCTGCCAGCTACAGTTCCAGGGTCCACACCTGCTCCTCTTGCAGGAAACATTTGGGGTGCAGAGGCACAGGCAGGGGCCCTGACGGCTGTATGAGCCCCGAAGGCCCAGCCCATTCCGGTCACACCTCACCCCCATGTCTCTAGAACCTTCTCTCCTACACTGGGTCTCTGCCTGGCACAGTGATCTTCTGCCCCATGCACCAGTCCCCGCCATGTCGCCCCCATAATGTAGGGGAAATATTACAACCTTCGCCACCTTGGCCTTTTCCCCAGGGGTGGCTCCGGGGTGACGAGAGCCCAGGTGGCCCCCAGACTCTGGGGGGGTGGCACATGCAGGACGGGAAAGCTGAGCCCCAGGAGCAGCTTCCGCCCTCCCAACCCTGTCAGACTCTGCTGTGCCCTCAGGGCCGCCTCTGGGGGCGGCCTCGTCCCATTAGCCACGGCCCCGGGCCCGCCCTCGCCGTCCCCCAAACAGCGGGGGTCCCCCAGCGCGGGGATTGGCGTGTTCAGGGTGAGGAAACGCCTCTCCCCTGAGTCCCATTAGCTCAGCCCAGGGCGGGCGCGCAGCCCCGCGCGGCCAGCAGGGGGCGCTGCGGGTGACGTCGGCTGCGGGGTCTCCGCGGTCCAAGGGGCCAGTTCACCGCGGGGCGCTGCGGACTGGGGGTGACATGGGGATCGACTCTCAGTGGGAGACTGGATGGGACTTGGGAGCCCCGGGCTCCACCTCATAGGACACCCGGGCTCCCCTTTTTTTAAAAAAAAAAGAAAAAAGAATTATTTATGCATAAAGAGCTGGGGTACAGGCCAGAGGTGCTGGGTGAGAGTGCGGAGCAGAACAGGCAGATCCACTGAAATCCGCTGCTGAGGGGGCAGCGGGGGGACAGGAGGGGTCTGCTGCATCCTGGGGGTCACTCCCTGGCAGAGGATAGAACTCCTGCTGCAATGGCCATAGCCAGCTTCACAGTACTGACACTTAATCCCTGTGCCACCAGGGAGGACCCCGGGCTCCCCTTTATGTCCTGGCTGAGGCCGCCGCTCTGCAGGGAGCCCCGACCCCATCCTCAGAGATCCCGTCAGGTGTCCGGCATCGGGAGGGGCCGAGGGGGCTGCTCAGTGCCTGAGGTTAACCTCAGAGTACACAGAGGCCTCCTGGCCTTGATGGGTCCTGGGGGTCCCCTTGGAGATACTGAGGGAGGCGTAACACAGCTCCTGCTCCTCCTCTGAGGGGGCCCCCGGGGGGCCCCCGGGGTGCGGGGGCCGGGATGGGGGCCGGTGACCCTGAAGGGAGGAGAGCAGGGGCAGGTCAGTCCC